CCTTTTTTTTTTTTTGTTTTTTTGTTTTTTTCCTCGTTGCTCTTTTAAATTGCGGCTTTTTTTTTCCTGCACCACAGGGATCTGCTCCGGGTCCCTGAGGACTATCCCTTCGTACGGCAATTGGGAGCTTTGGGGGTGTGGGTCCCCTTCATTACCCTGTCCCCGTCTCTTACTGTTCTCTGTGTGCTCTCTTCGGCTTTTGTTGGGCAGAAGCTATTCAGTCAGCCTTCAGTTCTTCTTCAGGAGGAAATGCTCCACAGATAGGTGCAGATGTGGGTTGTCTCCATGGAGGAGGGGAGTTCAGGGTCTTCCCACGTCACCATCGTGGATGGGAACCCCACCATGGTTGTGGTTATTACATACAAAGTACCCGGCACGATGTCTGACCCTTACCAGGTAACCATGATTTATAGCCCATTTTATCCTCTCAAGGAAACTCATCCCACCCAAAATTGAACAAGTATCCGGGGAACGTGTATTTAATGTCTCTCTTCTTGAAATGTAAACTCCATTAGGACTGGGCTCATCTTGTTCCCCACAATGTCACCTATCTCTGGTATAGAGCCTGGCCCTTTAAAAGGGAATGAATGAAGAAGGTAGGCATTATATTCAGTCTATCTTGTAGACTGGAAAACCCAGACTCTAGAGAGGGGTAGGGATTGTTTCTGGTAACTCAAACTGGCTGATTATAAAGGTATGTTTTTTTGTTGTAGTTGTGGGGTTTTTGTTTGCTTGTGTTGTTTGTTACTTCACCCTGGTTCCTTCCTTCCCTAAGGGTCTCACCTGCCTGGTGGAGAACCTCTCCTGCCTGCGGAAGGACGCTTGGTTGTTTGGCTGGCGCTGGCTGGGTCCTGGAACCAAGCCACCCATTAAGAACAGTTGACTTCTGTTCCAGTACCCACCATTTGGAGATGTGCCCAAGCCTCGTGGTTCTGGGGTGTAAAACAAGATGGTGAAGCTCTTGCTTCATAGTCACAAAGAGGGAACATCTGCCACTTTTGAGCTGTGTCCCGATCACACTTCAGCAGGTGCACAAATACCCTTCAAGAAGCAGAACACACGTTCGCCCCCCCCCGCCCCCCGTCGGATTTCAGGAAATGCACCTGTTAGCCAGGAGACGGCACTGCTTGGGGGACATCCCATTGCCTCCTGCTTCATGACAAAGCTTTCCTCGGGGAGGAGAGATGTCAGAACGCTGGTCTCCACCTACTGCCAACATAATGAACTAATTCAGAAAGAAGGAAGGCTGAGGGTTTGCTTCACAGCCAAGGGCCGTGGCTGGCTCCTCCATGCCTGGGAACTGGTGCTCAGTGGAGATCTTAGAGCTCATTTAAAAATCAACTGTAGTGGGACGCCTGGGTGGCTCAGTCGGTTAAGCGTCTGACTTCAGCTCAGGTCATGATCTCGCGGTCCGTGGGTTCGAGCCCCGCGTCGGGCTCTGTGCTGACAGCTCAGAGCCTGGAGCCTGCTTCAGATTCTGTGTCTCCCCCCTCTCGGCCCCTCCCCTGCTCATGCTCTGTCTCTCTCTGTCTCAGAAATAAATAAAAAAACATTAAAAAAAATTAACTGTAGAGAACAAGCTTCAACTAAATCCTCAAGCCTTATGAGCCTTAATGAACTAAAGAATTTACCTGAGAATCTACAATGTTTAATGCGGATAGTTCTGCCATCTACCTAACACCTTGCGTCTCAGTTACAGGTCTGCGTCTCAAAGTACGTCAAAGTTTTGAGGCAAACAGAGGAAGTTTCTGGGGTATAGGATTGAGGCAGGAGCTGTAAACCATGGTCCGGGCCAGTTGTACTACTAACTTGCTGTGTGGCCTTGGGGAAGTCAACTCCCCTCTCTGGTTCTCCAGTGTCTTATCTGTACATGGAGAGCATTGAATTTTAAAATTTTGAGGTTGCCCTTCCAGCTGTCATGTTTATACTCTTCTTCATGATCACGTTCATCGTTTCTTTGGGCACTCACTGGGGAGGAGACACTGTGCCAGGTGCCAGCAAGACAGTGGTGAGCAAAACAGATGTGGATCCAGCCCTCATGCCTCTGCGACATCACCCTAATAATGCCATAGAAATATTATAACCTGGGACAAGTGTTTTCAAGGGGGATGCACACGGGTGGTCTATTGCCAGGAATATTCCAGCAGGGAGTCAGAAAATCCTTCCTGGAGCAAAACTCCTTTGGGATGATATGGGAATGATGGGTAGGTAAAAAGAGCATGAAAGAGTATTTCAGAGAGGAGGAACAAAATGTGTAAAGACCCTGAGTGTCTGAGGAAGTAGGGAGAGCCACTGTGGCTGGGTCTGCCTTGGAGCAAGTTCCGGGTGGGTGGCAGTGAGGAGACGGGAGAGACCAGTGGCGGGAAGGAGCCAGATGGTGGGAGGCAAGGGAGGCCACATTAAGGATACCGGTCTTTATCTGAAGGGCAGTGAGCAGCCATTGCAGGTTTTAAGCAGGGACACGGCCTGATCAAATCCACATTCCCTGGCTTTAATGCGGAAAACCAATCTGAAGGGGTAAGAGAACAGGCAGTAGGCCGGGTGGGGTGTACTTGCAGGAGCACCCGTGGGTGATGACAGTGGTGGGGATGCGAAGGGTTGAATTATTCATTGTCAGCTCTAACGAAAATCAGAGGTAACTTAAAACATTCAACCAGCAGCCATACCCTCCTCCCGTCTGTCCAGACCAGTGTCCCGCAAACCTGGGGCAGGCCCCCGTTTATAAGCTCTTATCGCCGTATTCCTTTCCTCCAAAACCCTTCCAGAACTGCCATTTGTGTCTGTGACTGTTTGGTTAATATCTGGGCTCCAGCTAGACTAGAAGTCCCAGGAAGGCAGGAGTTGTAGCTGGTTTTTTTTCCCATTCCTTCTTGTGAGTGCCTAAGGCAGCGC